TTCTAAACATGTTTTTTTATCCTTAACTTGTCGTTATGATCAAGCAGTTAAGTTTTAAAGCTAGGGAGCTGACTAACGTATGCATTCTTTTTTATTAGATCTCTTAGATTTTTTTTTTGTACATCCATCAGATATATAACTTCAAGCCCTTGAAGCATATAAGTAAAAGTATCAATCTAATAACATCAAGCTATAATATTAGTATGTGGTTTTTTATGTCTATTTATTTTATCTAATTAAATCTCTTTGTAACTAATCTTATCTTATTTAGTTTATTTTTAAATCCCATTTTGTTTTAATGGTATTATATCAGTAGATCTTAGTAATAATTTTCAAATGTCATCTCTAGCAAATTGATTCAAGTTCATGTACATAGCCTCTATTGAAAATTCATCCACTAATGCCTCTTCTACCTTGGTTGGTTCTATAAATTAGATGAATAAAGTACTACTCGCTTCCTATCCAAGTGCATATATAATCCTAAACTTACAATTGATTTAACAATAATTTATTCTGGAATGACATGTTATATGCTTCTACTGACTAGCCAGTGATTTTTTCTTCTTATCACTTAGCTCTAAAATTTTAGCCCTAGTTATGTTATCTTCATTAATGCATAATTCTTGGTCTGGCTATAGTTATATTTCTCAGTAAAAGTCTATTCAATCTCTTCTCTCATGAGGGTTATTTTATTAATGACTCTATAAAAATTTTTCTACTAAATAGTAACCCAAGAGCTCAACTTCAACAACTTTAACTGTAAAGTTTTTAATATTTCATTTGCCACTATTCAACATAAAATATTTACACCCAAATAAATAAAAAAGAATTAAGTTGGTATTAGGCCTCAAATTATTCGTAGTGAATTTTATTCAACTAGGATGACTATTAACACTATTTATAACAAAATAAGACATGTTTATTACTTGTGCTCAAAATTTTCTAAATAATTTATCTTCCTTTAGCATAGATGAGGTAGCCTTAACTAGAGTTCTATTTTTTACTTGTACTATGTTATATTGATATTCAATTCTAAGTGTATAAAAATTATGTAAAATCCCTAGCTCTTTATCGAAGTTCTCAAATTTCTTATTCTCAAACCCTCGTTCATGTTTGTTATGCATTATAAAAATTAATTATCATAATTTCTTGGATCCAAATTACAAATAATCTAAACTTTTTTAGGGGTCCACTTTATGCAGAAGAAATTTCCCTTAGATAAATTTGTGTAATCATTTACTATAACTGGTTGATAAGATTTTTATTCTAGATTAATTATTAATAGATCCAAAAAAGCACATATGAAGTATCTCTAGGGATTAAATGTGACAACTATCTTTTTATAAGAAATAATGATCTTGCTTATTTTTCCGGCCAACATGTGCCACAAGGATGATAAGTGTATTCTAATCTAGGAACTCCTCTAATTAGATCTAAGTGAGTGATTTTTGTAAGCATATACATTTTAGCATGATGTAGCCTCTTATGTTATGATCAAGGCTCATCTAATGGTTTTTATATAATAGATTTCACTTATCTCATATATATCATTAATATCCACTATGTTAATAACATTAGTCCAAGTTTTTCTTAAATACTTTTTGTTGTTTAGTTTCAAACAATAGGATATGGGATAAAAATTTAACCTCAAATCTTTTATCATAAAGTTGACTTACAATAAAAAGTTATACTTTAAATCATTAATTAAGAGGAATTTTTTTACTCACAAAATGATTTCTCTTATCAATATCTTGAAGAACAATCACTCCTTCATAATGCTGTCACTAAGAGTAACTTCACCTCCTTTATTTTATTGTCAGTCGTGTGTGTCCATTGCTCATTTTTAAGGTATCACATGCCTCTATCAATTTTGTTATGAAGGAATAAATACAAAAAATATGCGACATCTTAATTTCTTAAACACAAATCACCTTGAGTTTATCAATAAATGATGATGTCGTAATAGAAGTGCAATTCTAACCTTAGGAATTCATTTTTATATGATTCTAATGTATGTTAAGTATCCATATGTTTCACATTAGTAACACTTGATACTATACATAAAATTCATGAATTTATAACCTATTTTAAACATCTTTTATGAACAAAAGTAGATGTAACATGTGATGGCTAACTGCAGTGTATGTATGTGTGAGAAGCGTCATAAAAAGGTATTAATCTTTGTAGAGCATCTCTTAAAATTTAATTAATAGTAGTAATTGATCATATTTTAACACGAAGCTCATACTTTTATTTACTATTATAAGAGCTTATTTATGCATAAGATTGTATTTCTTCTCATGTTCTAAGTATAAGGATTAATTTTCTTTTAAATTCTTGTCTATTCTTAGTCAAAAAATAAAATGTTACATTTTTTTACTAGACATGCAAAAAAAATTTCCTACAAAATATTAGTAATTTAAAATTATTACATAATTTTTGTACCACTAAAAAAATTTTAACCTTTGTAGAAAATTCAAACACTTAAAAAAAACTTGTGAGTGTACATTTCATAAACTAAAAATTTTATTTCAAAAATTAAAGAGTCAAAAATCAAAATCTCTTAGTCAAATGACTCCAATGGTTCAAATCCTTAAATCATTTAGGATTTGAGGACTATATATGATTGATGATAAATAAGGTAAATATTTGAACATTATTTTGTCATTGTTTCATGAATATCTAATTGAAATAAAAAAAAATGTGGAGCCACACATTGCCCTCAAAAGATATAACAAGCCTTATGTTATCCAATCAATTAAAAGGACTAAAACTATCTATGGTGAAATTTCTTATTGGGTTCACTACTAAAAATAAGTTTTTTACAGTGCTTATTTAAATACACTTTTAAAAAAACGTTGCTAAAAATATTTAAAAAAACGCATCAAAATATTTAGAACTGTTGTTAAAAGACTTTGTACGAGTAATATTTACAACAATTTAAAATCTACTGACTGCAATGAAAATAGCAGAGGTTTATTGTTGTGATAACCAGTATAAAGTATTGTGAAAACACTTTTCTTTTCCCAATAGCGGCTAGAGTTGGACAGTGACATGTGCTAAAGGTTTAATGAATGTATTAAAAAGTTGGTAGAGAAGTGCTTGATTAGTGAAACTTAATGATGAACCAAACAAAAAATTATGCTATTAAAATTGACTGTCTAAATGAGAATTCAAGGGAAGTATTAGAGTTGCTTAGAGATTATAAGTTTACATATTGATTATAAATTTGGATGCCAACATGGAGAAAAATTATTGTACCATAAATGAAAATACATCCTATGATGCAAATTGCTCCTAAATGTTGATCATAAGGACCTAAATGCTACACATATGCTAGTTTATATCTCATCTTTATCATTAAATAGACAATGGGGGAAATCATAAAATAGTTAAAAATAGAGTTGTAAACGAGCCAAGCTGAACCTAAGTTAGAGCAATTAATCGAATTTTAGCTCGACCTTAAGTCTATTGAGTTCAAGCCTTTTTTTATTATGAAATAGAAAGAACGAAATTAATTTAAGCTACTTTTATAATAAAAAGATAAATATAATTAAAATATAAAATATTAATTTTTAAATAAATTCAATCTAAAATCTTGAAATTTAATATAGTTTGAATATATTCCATAATAATATTTTTTTTTAAATGATTTAGTTCACAAATTAATGAGCCTAATCAGGATTAGTTTGAGCTTGCCCTGTTAACTCATCGAGCACAGCTCATGATCCATCTATTAAGTCGAGCCCGAGTCCCCTCACAAGTCAAATTAGCTCAATGACACCCCTATAAAAGGCCTTAAGTAGAAGCACATGACCTTTCCATTCAAATGACATATTATCAAAAACATTCCTAAGACTGCTAAATTCAATAAATTCTCTTAATATAATTGAAATAATTGAAAATTAGAATGCTTCATGATTTTATTTTTGAAAGATTTACATCCATAACACACAACTGTTACATATTTATATATCTAACATATAAATTTTAATCTTTTATCCTATTTTAAAAAAAATAATAATAATAGTGTTTTTGTCGTCTAGTATTATAAATATATACATCAAAACTTAGATGTTATATATGTAAATGTATAGAAATTATGTGATATGCAGAAAAAAAAAAAAAAAAAGAGCGAAATTATCAGACAACGGCGACAGAAGCGCAGCAGCTGCTTAACCACGTTGTATGCATGCAATTACTTTTATACTTAAAGCGCCGCAGCTTTTGGAAAAAATATAATGTTAATACAGTTTTCGAAAGGGACCAAGGCGACCACCTATAATAGGACCTCCGCTGTATCACCTCTGTTGTCTGAACGTTGCTCATGTCTGAACTCCGGATATAATATAATAGGACCTCCGCTGTATCACGTCTGTTGTCTGAATGTTGCTCATGTCTGGACTCCAGATATAATATAATAGGACCTCCGCTGTATTACGTCTGTTGTTTGAATGTTGCTCATATCTGGACTCCGGATATAATATTTATTCTCTTATTAAAGGTGAGAAAAAAACATTCAAACGTCTTTGTTACACTGTTCATCTCTACTACATTCTCTTATCAACTCTTTCAATCCCAAAGGCGCCGCAAATCTGGGATTCGTGAACATAATCCCCTTTGCTATTGAAAATTGTTTTTTTAAAAAGTAATAGCTCGAAAAATTCCTATGATCTCTAAAACACGATGAATGTTTGAATAAAAAGTACGTTGTGGCATAATGTCAGAAGATCAGGAATGTGATCCATAACACCGGAACCAAGGGACCTCACGATCTACAAACGGCGAATTTCGCCATTCCAACAGACAACTTCTTCAATTCATCAGCCTACTCCGCGAGTGAAAGGAGTCGACCTCATTTTGTTTAGGGAGCGAATATTATGTGTAGTAATCTAAGGTACGGGCTCACGATATTGAATGATATTGAGATGTTATGATGATGAATATCAAACCAAACATGTCACTGCATAATATTTGTACAGCAAGATATATGAGTGGAACAGTAGAGATAACATATTATATTTTTTTGATATATTTTTCCATTTCTCCCATGGTTTTATATAAACAGATTTCCCAAACTAAAAGAAAAGCTTCTCAAAAACAAAAGGTACTACCAAAAAGAGATCAGAAAGGAAGGAAAGAAGAGGACGACAACAAAACCGAAACAGAAAGCGGCTGTCGAAGCTGAAGAAAGAGAATCGAGGGCAGGATGGAGAATTTGAGTTTTGTTGCAGGGGAGAAGGTTGCCGAGATTGCCCTTGCTTCTTACGTGGGTTCGGAACTCCTCGTCGATGCAGAGCTTTGGATTACCGGCAAGCTTGAGCTTATCGCCGATGGAAGCAATGAAGCCGGCGGTAAATGGGATACGGCCATGGAGAGAGTTGTTCTCCATGTTAATCTCCTTCGCGCTCCGCTCCAAGAGCCGAATCTGCTCCGGTAGTTCTCCCACGAGGAAATTGTTCTCGAGTGACAGATAACAGATGTTTTGCAGATATTGGCCGATGGAAGGTGGAATGTTCCCGGTCAAGCCCAAATTGGACAAACCTAGCCCTGATATACCCCCAAGATTTTCCCAAATTTCAGGGATTCGACCTCCGAGAGGGTTGTCGCTGAGATAAACTTCTTTGAGGTTTTGCATCTCAGCCAGTGCGACGGGAACTCCGCCGGTGAGCCGGTTGTGGCTAAGGTCGAGGAACTCGAGCCGCTTTAGATGAGTAAAACCAGCCGGAACAGGGCCGGTAAACCTGTTCGAGCTCAGATCCATCTTCACGAGCTCAGCAAGCCGCCCGATCTCGGGTAAGATGTCGCCGAGGAAGTTGTTGCCGCTTAGATCAAGAAGCTTCAAGCACTGGAGATCCGCAACGGTGGCAGGAACCGATCCTTGCAAGCGACTTCTCGATATGACGAGCTGCTCCAGATTACGAAGCTGGCCGATCTCCGACGGAATCACGCCGGAGATTCCGGTACCGTAAATGATGAACCGCCGAAGGCGCACCAATCGGGCGATGAGAGCGCTGAGGTGGCCAACGAGGGCGGGGTTATCGTGGATCACAAGTTCTTCAAGGCAAGTGGAAATGTTCCAGAAAGACGACGAGATGGCAGTCTGGCCAAAGCGGAAGCAGCGGTAAAAGAATAAGCGGCGAAGGAATGGAAGAGAGGAAGAATGGAGAGAAGGAAGGGTAGCGTTTATGCCGCATTCCGCGTTGGAGTTGAAGTCCGAAAGGTAGCCGAAGTTGAGCTCGGTGATGTGTGGAGTGAATCCACCGGCGCCGTCCGAAAAGAGGTCGCAGACGACTCCGTGAGGCCCGGAAAGACACATGTCATCGGGGTAGAGAGATCTCCATTCGACCGCAGAGTTGATTGATTCCAAGGCGAGGTATGCTGCCTCCTGTTCGGCTGCCGGAACACCGGCGGCGGCGAAGGTGATGCTGATGATGAGGAAATAAATGGGGCAGAGAAAGAACTCCATTAACGAACCAGTGACCGTTGTTCTACGGAATTGGTTTTTAAAGAGGAGTTGAGGGTTTTGTTCTACGGAAATGCCATGGCTGAATGAAAGGACCGATTTTGTCTTGTCTTTGTTTGCATGAAATGGAGAGCATAGAAGCTGCGGAAAGCTGCGGAAAGCTCCCCGAGGTGGAGATGAAGGCCAGGGAAGCCAGAGGGGACCAGACAGTGGAGTAATTTATTGTCGTGTTGCCTGTTAGCATTCATTGCAATGTGGCCCTTTTTGATGTTGTAGTAAGTGCAACCTTCTCTGTTTATCCCCATCCCTCATGCAGAACAGTCCCCTTTCATTTATTTTCTTATTAAACCCTGGCAGGCGGATTTTTTTGAGAAATAAAATTTTATTGGTATTTCTCAAAACTTTCATTTTTATTCCCATCATAATATCTTTATTTCATTATTTTACGATAGTTGTTCAATTCAAGGAGATTGATCAAACTATCCGATTTACATGCACCAAAAAGTACTTAAAATTTGCACTTGTTAGCCCTTGTGCCAAGGCAGCCTTTGCTATCGTGGACTCTAGATTTTGTACCTACGACATCTTTCTCACGAATTGAGTGACAGTATGCTCGGAGGCTTTCCTTCTGGCCCTGCTTGATGTGTCATAGGGACTATGAGTCCTTGCGGGGCTTTAGGGCGCTAACAAATCGTGTCATGAATAGCTTCTTAAACTCACCGAAGGAAGTAATAATTCCTGCCAGAATGCCATGGAGCCACATGAGGGTCAAATCTCTTAACAGGGTGTAGAACATCCAACAGTTCAATGCATCTTAAACTTTGAAAACGAAATATAACCAACTCAAAAAGATGTTATCTGATTAGCTGGATTGCTTCGAACCTTGGAGGGTTCTAAAGATGGAACCTTGAACTTCTCGCAGGGTTCTGCATCCATAATCTGTCGGGAGAATGCATTTTCTGGGTGACAGTATACTCATTTCGCCTCGCTTGTGGTCTGTTTCTTGGCACGAACCTAACACTATATTGGTAGTGGAATTCTTTAACTTGTTCGGCTCCCCTAGCAGTCTGATGACCTTAGGGTTCAAACAGTCTTGTTGACGGTATGAATACATGCTCGCCGCAACTTTTAATATCATGTGAATGACACCCAAGAAACAGAGCATTAGACATATGAGAGAAATCAAAAGAGGAAGGGAAGTAGAATGCACAATAACACAAGTGTTCTTAGAATGCGTCTAGTAGTCCTTTCATGAAAAAATGACTTCTATTATAGATCAAAGGGGTTGTTCTGTAAGTTACATATTTATCTCTATTTTAATAGAAATATTACAAATAATAAACGTGTGGTTGTACATTTACATTTTTATAAATGAATATGAGATTTGTAATCGTCGTTGATACTGTTTCATATTCAAACTATTTGAAAGGGGGATTACTGACCCACTAAAGTTAGCAATCGGTTTTCTTATAATTGTCCGATCGACATTCTAGAAGGAAATTCCTATAGAGACATCATTATCAAATTTTCTCAAAATTCGTGTAATTCACATTTTGGATGTACAGTTTGAAATTAAAGTTCTAAGCGGACGATTTTACAACCATCGTCTCTGCACACTTTTTCTCATCCTTTGTTTGTCGTCTTCTATGGACGTCATCACAACCGTTCAATTAAAGAGCCGCTGCACCAACATGAACGGACGACTGGATCATATCAAGCAAACTTGCTAGTAAAATTTGGTGGGCCCCACTGAATACCAGGGCTGCTCAGCGCAGCAATGTTGTCTGGCGCTTTACAGTGTCAACTCAGACCCGCCCAGTCATGCCTCCGACAACGCAATGGCCTTCTGGTCCACATCTCTATTTCGGCCAGCTCTACCCAGTCCTTAGTTATTGCAGCGAGCGATGGATCCGGTTTTAATTGGCGGCCGAGATTTAAAAGGCTTCATTATTAACGACGATGATGGCACCAGTACAAATGTCTCTTCTGCCCGATTCGATTCTTTGAAAAAGCTGACGAGCATGCACATCTTGTGTTTGGACTATTTGTTAAATTACTCGTTGACAATATTTTGATTTTAGCTTTTTAAGATTTCAATAAAAAAAAGTTGATTCCAAAATAAAAAAAAAAACTCCAATATGATAGAATCATTATTGATGTATCATCAATATTATTGATGCGTCATCAATAATTTTTTATTAAATATGAATTTCAGTACATCTTTAAAATTCTAAATCAAATTCAAACTTACCAAGGCCCTGATTTAGTAATTTTATAGTCACAATGACCGTTTCGTCAAGATGAACCCAATGATATCAAAATTGGTTCGGTTCGACTATAATCAAACCCATATTAAGTAGTTGAAGCATAATTGGAGGGTTTGGATCATTATTTGAATGATCAAATGAACTTCAAAGTTGACATATTTGTAGTTGAATTGACTGTACCGATGAGGTGAATCTAACAAGCCCAAGATTACAAAATTTTGATATCATTAAGGCGTTAAAATCTTCAAAAATATCATCTATAATCAAGGAGGATCAATAGAGATAGTCCAATTGAGTGGTTAGGGGAGATATGCGCCAAAAGACCGAAATTTCTCTCTCAAAAAGCTATAAATAGACTCACTCTCTTCACTTTAGAGGAGGAGAGGAACAAAAGGAATTCAAGAGCTTGTTCTAGAGAGAAAACCCAGCGAAAATCGTCACTCTCCGTAATCACCCACCATCATCAACCACCTTCGGTTGTCTTCTCCTACAGTAACCGACCACAGGTCACCACCAACCCTTATTTGTAACTATTATATTCCAAATACAATGATTGTGTCTAACACCTGTACTAACGACTAGACAATGACCACTGACTTCCACATATGTCGACCACCGTCATTCACCTGCTCATCGACCACCATCAACCATTGCAAGCCATAATAGCCAGCAGCTACCGACCACCTGCCTCAATAACTATTTGAAATTGTTGTATTTTGAATACATCTATTGCATCTAACACCTATATTGAAGACCCAAATAATAACCACCTACCTTCATAGTGGTCAACCGCCATCAACCACCGATTATGGGCCACTAGTGACCACTTGTAGCCATCATCACATACCACTGCCAACTACGACCTTCGACGACATTTACTTGCAACTATTATAATCCAAATATGATCTTCATGACCAACTATTGCCCCTATAGTCACCAACTACTGCTTTGTGGCCAATTACTACTATTAACATTTTCAGCTAAGACATTTGAGACTAATTGTCCCTATTGTGGCTACTGAATATAACTTTTATAACCAAGTACTTCCTTTGTAGCAAGCAGCTACGACCTTTTGTGGATAATTACTATTTTTATGTTTCCTAATTATGACCTCTATGATCAACAACCAGTACAATAACCACTAACTACAACATTTATGACTTATTACTGCCATTATAGTGACCTACTACGACTTTTGTGACTAACTGCTATAGTTACAGTTTTCAATTATGATCTTTGTGGCCAATTGCTATTATTACAACCATTGACTACATCCTTAATGACAAATTATTACCTTTGTAGCCGCCAACTATTGATGTTAAAATTTCCAATTATGATCTTTGTGGCCAACTGCTACAAAAACTTTACTGCTAACTAGTGCCTTTGTAGGAACAAACTATGACATTTGTGGCTAAATACTGTTGTTACAGTTTCCAACTATAGCATATGTTGCCAACCACCAATTATAACCTTTATGACAAACTACTTGTTTTGCAACAACTAATTACAACATTTATGACCAACTACTATTGTTACAATTTTCAATTACGGCCCTGAGACCAACAACATTTATGACTACAACCTATATAGCTAACTACTACCTTTATAACAACTAATTACAACATTTGTGGCAAACTATTACCATTACAACTAAGAATCACAGTTGTTGTAGCCCAATTATAACTATTATGGCTAAAATACTATTAGTATATTTATGAATATTGGCTTTGTAATTTCATCTTCTCTAATTTATGAAAATAGTAGATCTATGTACTTATTTTTACATGGTGGATTACTTTAACAGGGCTATGCCCCATAGTTTTTCTTTTTCGAGGGGTTTTCCACATAAAAATATTGGTGTCTTTCTCTGCCACTTTTCATTTATTTGTGTGTGTGGTGGATTTTCGTTCAACGCTAAGGAGTTAAACTATCCCTCCACTACCGCGAATCTTCGGACAGACAATAATTATATTTAACTATAAATCAATTAGTGAATCTATAAAGGGGCATTTATGTGCATATCAACTGTTTATATTTATAAATTTAATCATCAAAATTTCAAATTTACATCTATAAACCACTCAAATTTTTTAGACCGCAAAAATTAAAAAAAAACCTGTTTGATTTTGTTAAGATGAATTACACCTTACATCCATAGTCTTTTAATAACATATTATTATAATTTTAAATATCAATTTTTAGTGTTATATATATATATATATATATAAGACTTATATGATATGTATGTCAGTTTCCCATCTAAAAATATGTAAAGAGTTTATAACACATTCATTTATTTCAACCAAATATAAATCATGTAGAATTGAAGGAAGGTTAATTTACATTCAGCTCTTTAATAATCAAGCTTAAAACATATATTTCATATTCGACTCACCTATTTATGATTGAAACCAAGACTTGCTTCTTAATGAACTCAGCAGGAGTGGATCAATGAGCATCCAACTGCCCCTAATATGCCTAACAATTCGAGTACCGCCTTCTTAAGGCCAACTGTGCCAGAGGGGTTTCAAACCCCCGACCTGAGCGATCTTATACCGTGGATGCCAACTAATAGGTCAGGGTACACAACACACGCACACACACCCACACGCGTGTGCGCGCACACAAACATATATATATATAATCCAACTCCATATATATATATATATATATTCTTCAAAATAAAGGAATGGCAGGTGGCTATTATACGTGTCTGATCATCTCTCATGCACCAAATCATCCGAGTACCACACCCAACACTCGGGGGGAATCGAACCCTAGACCAGAGGGGATTTATAACTGATAAATAGATGTCCGACCAACTGATCTGAATGTATTTATGACCAAACATATTAATGAAAAAATTTAAAGCAGTCCCACACCAAAAGCTATTTAGAAAGAATGAATTGCTACATCTTAATTTAAGCAAAGCCATCCAACTTACAAAACATAAAACCAAAAAAAAATATTTTAAGAAAAAAAAGCCTAAAGCAAACAGATTAAAACACCTTGAGTATTGGCAAAGTGGTTTGGAAAGTCAAACCATGTCAAATATAAAGGAAATGGATTCAATATGATCATAGAAGC